CCTGCTCTCCTACGACGGGCTCAACGAGCGCGTGCGGGTGCTGGACGAGCGCAAGGCGCTGATCCCCTGCAAGAGGTACGCGGGCCGCGGGGTGGGCGGCCGGGGGGCGCGGGCCAGGTCGCGGGGCCGCTGGCGGCGCCTCCCTCTTGCCGAGGAGAAAGGTCGCAGGGAGGGTGGCCGGGGGGGCAGCACGGTCGGGGGCTGGGTGGAGGGCTGGGCCCTCTGCACGCTGAGCTCCTCAGCGCGGCGGTGGCCGGTGAAGAAGGAACCGGGCAGGGGCGGGATCGCATCCCCGCGGCCCGGGGCCCAGGTTCGGCCTGGTCCGCACGCTGCTGAGTCAGGCTTCAGCCTCGGGCGTCTCATCTACACCATCTCATCTCTTCCAGGAGCCATCTGCGGGGGAGGCACGCAGAATGTATGTATTTTAAGAATTCTTGTTGCAGTTTTAAAGGAATAGGACAACCCTGCAAAAGGTGTGGGGAATCAAGGAGAATATCGCCCACAAGCTCATCACCCTGCTATAACTATTGAAATTTTGGTCTACTTCCTTAAATGTTTTAAAGCAAATGTGACATATTGTGATCAAAAAACATCATCTTTTTTTTATATACACCATCTCTTATGCATTCTTAATCGTCATTTTATTGGTTGGCCCCCGACCTATTTTTAATAGCTGCACAATATTCCATAGAGGAGCTATGCCATTCTCTTAAACCACTTGTCTCGTGATTCACCTTCCCACGTCTGCTGTGAGAAAGGGTGACCTCGTTCTGAGACCTGATGGCTATTTTGGGATCACCACCTGTCAACTCCACAGCTTTCCTGTGGAAAGTCCTATGTGTGCTCCTCTGGGGGTTATGCTGGCCTCTCTGGGTGGCGTTTGTGTGGTTAGGAGGTGCCATGTGATGTCCATGGTTTAAGGGTCAGGTGTGCTCAGGGGCAAATTTTGATGTCATTTCACCTAAAGCATTTGTTGGAGTGTTAGGTATCTTGAAGGAAGTACTGAAGGGACAGAACCTTTAGCAGTATATTCGAGAACGGAAGCTAATACATTTGGAAGGGTAAAATGTGAGTGCTGAGGAGAGCTGGAGGAGCCAAGTCATCACGGGGGCCCGGGAGGATCTCTGAGGCCTCTAAAGAACATTGTGGCTCGGCCTCAAAGGACAGAGTAACAACAACAAACAACAACCAGCGTGTGAGCACTTATTATATACCGGGCATGGTGCTGAAGAGTTTCCACATATTACATGAAAAGCTCACAACAGCATGATAGTGGAGGTTTTATGATCTCGGTTTTATAGACAGAGAATCTGAGGCCTGGGGAGATTCAGCATTTTTTTCCAGACCACACAGCTGGGGCTTGAGGAAGCTGGGTGGCTTCTGACACCTGCGCAGTTAACCACGCTCTCATGCATTCATCATGCGTTGTTTTCATGGCAAGCTCTTTGTATAAACAGAGTGGGTCCTGGGCCTCAGGGAGGTCACAGTCTGTGGGTGGAGTCACATGAAGGAAAATTCCCACCCAGTGAGATCAAGGGTATGCTGAGTGTTACACGAACACTTCAGATGGGCAGCTAACCCAGGCTTCCTGGAGGCGCTTAAGCATGGGCGAGCCCCAAAGGCTTGCACTGGTGACCGGAGGAGGGAAGACTGCTCTGGGAGGATGCAGGTCTATTGCAGAACATGTTGGAGCAGACAGGGCTGGGGGTATTCCAAGACCTGCAGACCATTCACTGTTAGGACTGAAGCACAGAGGACACGGAGAGGTTGGGATCCACTGAAGGATTTTTGAACAGTGGAAGGTCATGACTGGATTAAGGAATGGTCACTGGGTATATGGTTGCAAATAAAGGAGAGCAAGAGTAGAAGCAAACACATGACCTGGGAGACTTGTGTCGAGGTCCAGAAGGATGGGTAGTGGCCATGGTCATGGTGAGAAGCGGACTCATTAGGAAAGTATCGAAGAGGTTTATTGACAATGGAGGTGGGGGGGGGAAGGGTCAAGGAGAGGCCCCCATTTTTGGCTTCTGATGGCACAGAATGGATAGTGATGTGGTTCACTGAGATAGGGTTGGCTTTGTGCACTTCTGATTGTGGATAAACTGCTAACTTTTCTGTGCACTGATGTGAAGCCTGGTCCAATAATGGTGCATTGATGACCAGTCATGTTGCAGACAGACTGGAATGGCTCCGAGCACACTGCTGAAGCAGAGGAGTGTGGCCAGGAGAAGGGTAAGGGTCCATTCCCCCAAAGGTCATATTTTCACAACATAAGAGATGAAGTGTTAGAGTCGGACAAATCCGAGTCTGAGTGTAGAATCCTAGTGTGGGTCTTTGGGTAAGTTGCTGAAGCTTTCTGAGCCTCAGTCTCCTCATTTACAAAATGAGAATGCTAATAGTGTCTAATGTATTGGATTGTTGTGGGGATTAAATGAGTTCAAGTATGTAAAGCACACTGTGCAGGGTCTGACGCCTTGAACGTGCTCAGTACATGGCTGCAGTTGTCCCCATGGCCACCATCATCATCACCATCCTGGTGAATTTACCGTGACCCAGAGACTTGCTGCCGGCCAGCCTGTGGGCTCAGAAACTAGACCGGGAAGAGCACTCAGGGGCCCTTCCTTTCGGAGCTGACTGCGAGGAAGCAGGCTTAACAGCTAAAATATATATTTCAGTGAGTCCTGTGGCTGGCATGGTGGCCAGGATTCTCGGATCCACAAGACTAGGTCATTCTCTCCCTGTAGGCTGAACTATGTGAGGAGCCAAATTATAATCAGGAGATTGTGAGCAAAGAGTTGGCGCAAAGTCACTGAATCTAATGATTGCTTGCTCTAGGCCAGGCTGTATGCTCAATGTTGAGCTTTCCATCATGAGTAAGACAGGCCAGCCCAGGGGAATGGGGCTGAGATTCAGCGATGCATTCATTTTTCACCAGAAAGATGCCTAGCTGCTGGTTCTATGCTACCGCAACCCTGCGGGTGCAGACTCCCTCCACTCTGCACGGAGCCTTGGTGAGTGCTGTTCAGGCTGTCTTAGCAGCCCTTCTTCATCGAGGACTCCGCGATCGATTCATATAGTCTTTATATGTGTGCATTATGTCTTTAGTGGGGTCACAGCCAAATCTTGCTGGCCTAGAACTTTTTTGTCCCCATGTGGTTGGTGATTTCTCATTTCTTTGTCCTGACCTATCAAGTGTTGATTTCACAGTTCAGATTTTAGGAGGCAGTTTTATTCCCCTTTTTCCCAGTTTCTTGGCAAGATGCTGTCTCACAGTCCCATCTCTGGCCCTCAGTCAGAGGTAGAAAAGAATGTTTAGTGCATAAATGCATTTTTAAGCTCTTTAAATGTAGATTTGCTGGAACAAACTCAGAAACTTCTTCAGGTGTTAGCAGTCTGGCCAACAAACCAGATGTTATTTGAAGAAAATATGGATGGGTTGTCTCTTCATATTTATTAGTAAGTTGAGAAGTAAGTTTTAGAATTGGATCAACTTCTTAAGATTTTTATTTTGCATCCAGATTGTTATGGAAAATCCCACTGATAGTTACTGTGGAATGACTAGGACTTTCCAGGCTCTCTTTTCCCTGAGATGATGGAAAAGATTAAACAACTTTACAAGCTTCAGATAAGACAGCCTTAGCAGAGGATGGGGAATATTAATAATTGATACTATTTTGTTTTCTGGTTCCAGCTATCTTTCCTGACTCCTTGACTAAACTCACAAGTATTACATTTGGAAGAGGGAGGAAAAGCAAGAAGATTATTTTCATATTCCCGTGAACATGTTGAACTTTGTGGGAGAAGCAATACTGAATGAATTTTGTGAGGCCACCAGTAACTTACTGCTCTCACTTGCAAAATGGTGGCTTGGGGGTTGGGATTAATGGCGCTACTGACATAGAGCGAACAGAGAGGCATTAAGAGAATATGCAGGGGAACGTTAGGGATAATATCTTAGAAGACTAATCGACTCCCAATCTTACATGTTCAGGGACTTTGGGGGGGTAAAAGGTGAAAAGAAAAAATAGGTCTTAAATGGCGTGGCAAGTGGATTCTCAGTTCAAATTCTGACCAGATCATGTCTGTCTCAGTTTTCCCTGGGCATTCTATTTCTTGGAGAACAGAATATCATTTCTCTTCTGTATTTCTGGAGAAAGCCACCTAGTGTGGCGGAGAGAGGGCAGACATCCAGTGAGCGAGTCATGGGACACCGCACATGGCTTTTCATCCACGGCAAGATCTTAACTTCTCAGGATATCAGTTTTTCATCTTTGAATTTACTTTTAATGATCGACAGTGTTTATACGAAATAGCGTTTAGGCTTTCTTCCTTAAAGATGAAATGATACCACAGACGCACTCAGTGTGCTTTTATTATATCAGGCTGATTCCTGTTTCTACCATGAGGTAATGAACTTAACATGGATTCTACATTTTTTTCTCAGTGTGTCCCTTTGTGTAGATAAAACCAAAATGCTTTTCCTTCCTTCTCCTTTTCACCTAAACTTGTGTTCCTGGGCAGAAGAACGAGCGGTCACCTTTAAGTGCTCTGGCTGCAGACTCAGAAGGCTCTGCTCTGTGTGTGTGTGTGGATGGGGGGCGCAGAATATTCCAGGGCATGAATAGCATTGCTTACAGAGTGCTCCTCCACGTATCTGCTGTGGAAGATTAATTCCAACGGCTCTTATCACACTAGGTAACTTCAACGGTCATTGTGTTTGAATAGCAGGATAAGGGTGTTTTTCCCTCCAAATGTAGAGTTTTATTTTATTTTGAAGCTGTCGCATTCTTACAGAAAGTAAAGACACAGCCATTTCCGCCCCCCCCCAATCATTGGAGAGTGAGATATCCCCACCACCCCCATTTCCTGCAAACAGGGCTATTCTTCTGCACGACTGCAACATGGCCATAAAAACTGGGAAATTAACAATTAACACAGATTCATTTCTACCATCTGAAATTCGGGTCTCATTCAAGTTCTGCCAGTTGTTCATTTATGTTCTTTATAGCCAAAGGCTCCAGTTTATAGGTGTCCTGTCTTTTCCATGTTTTTCTGACTGGAACAGTTCCTCAGTCTTCCTTGCATTTTGATAATTTGTAAGATTAAAAACCAGTGATTTGGTAGAATGTGCCTTGAATTGCATTTGTTTAATGTCTCTTTACGATGAGATTCTAATTATTGACCTGTGGTAGGTGAATAATTAGTATTACCATGGAGGTAGTACTCTGTTCTTACTGCATTGTGTTGTTCACTGGGGTCACTTGGGTAACTGACAGCTGCAAGGTTTCTTCAGTGTGAAGTGACACTTTTTAACTTTGTAATGAATAAGTATTTTATAGGGAATTCTTTTTTTTTTTTTTCCTTAGGGAGAAAGAGGGTGGGGAGGGGGAGAAGAAGAAGAAGGAGAAGAGAGAGAGAGAGAATCTTAAGCAGGCTCCACGCCCAGTGGGGATTCTGACAGAGGGCTCGATTTCATGACCCTGAGATCATGACTTGAGCCTTAATCAAGAGTTGGATGCTCAACCAACTGAGCCACCCAGGCACCCTATAGGGAGATATTTTATTTTTTATTATTTTTTAAAGGTTTTATTTATTTATTTGACAGAGAGCGGTAGAGAGAGTGAGAGAAAGCACAAGCAGGGGGAGCAGCAGAGGCAGAGGGAGAGGGAGAAGCACACTCCCCACTGAGCAGGGAGCCTGACGTGGGACTCGATCCCAGGACCCCAAGATCATGACCTCAGCCGGAGGCAGATGCTTAACTGAGCCACCCAGGTGCCCCTGTAGAGAGATATTTTAAAACCATGTACACATCCCATTTTTCGTGACACTCAATTTATTCATTTATTTATATCAGCAAGAACTCAAGGATTCTTACTGTATTGCATTTGTTCTCACTGTTTGTTTTGATGTTCACATTGTCCCAGATCTGGCCAGTGGGCACTTCTTCAAGTTGGCTTTTATATTCTTTAAACATGTATCTCTTATTCTTTGAGCACTTTTTCACTTTTTGCCACAATAAGATGTTCCAAAGTTATCTATACTCTCTCTGCTAGAGTCTTGGAATAAGCCATTTCTGAGCCCGGAGCTCTGGTTACTTTTACTGGTGAAAAATATTTGGAAGCCAAGGTCCCTGCTCTAGTTGTGCTCATAGCTGTTAGATGGTGTGGCTCCCAGACCCTCTCAGTGGACAAAGCAAGGGTATGATATAGGTTTGAACACACACACACACACACACACACACACACAGTCACTTACTCCTACGTATACACATCTCGAGAGAGATCACAAGCAGGGGGGGAGCAGCAGAGGGAGAGCGAGAAGCAGACTCCCCGCGGAGCAGGGAACCTGATGCAGGGCTCAATTCCAGGACCCCGAGTTCATGACCTGAGCTGAAGGCAGACGCTTAACCCACTGAGCCACCCAGGTGCCCCTCCACAAATTTATTTAATCACAACCCTGTTTTGCGTGGATTGGGCTTCCATTTTAAGAAATCCCAACTTTCAGACTTTCAGGAGAACGTCTCTTTTTGCCTTTGCTCCCTCCCCTTGATCTCTGGTGGCTGGGGCCAGTATTTTCTTTTATTGTTAGCTCAGGAAGTCTGACTCCTTGTGGCCTTTTGATCCTCAAAAATGAACCATGCTGATTTGCAAAACTGAGTTTTTCTTCAAGAAAGAGATTTTCTTGGAAGCCCATAAAGTTTGCTTTGAGTCTTAATTCAGTGGGTCTGTTGACCCTGGATTTCAGAGGGTTGATGCTGGGATGCCGAGGAGAAGCGGACAGTGAGGAGCCTTAGTGCCAAGGAAGACAAGCCCCACGGTGTAATAGGACTGGTGGGGTGTAAGACTAACTTATAACTAGAAGCCAGAAGTGGTCGCCAAACTGCTCTGAAAACATCTTTACTTCTCTCTGTCAACCTTGAGCTGTTTCTTCCTGATTCTGCCCTCAAAGATGGCGGTCAGGGGCAGAGTGCCCAAAGATCTGAAAATATTCCACCAATTAGTGGTTTGTTTTTCCTGGAATAAATGTGATAGTGTTATATTTCCCCAATTCCAGTAAAAATCTTCTATTTTCCCCTTCATAATTTCTTTTATTTTACCCATCTTTGAAAAAAAAATTCCTCTCTTAATCCCACCAGCTGAAACCCCATTTCCCCCTTCTATTTAAAGCAAATCTCATGCTAAGTCCGGTCTCTGACCCCCATGCCCTCTCTAGCCCTCTTCAATCAAACCTTGAGCATCACAACTCTGCTGAGCCTGCTCTGCCCAAGAGCAATATGCTTCCCTTTATTAACCAGATGATCCTTTATCACTCCTCATTTTACTGTGCTCATTTCCTCCATCTTGGTATCTTCACAGACCACATTGTTCTGGTGTCCCTCCTTCCATCTCATTTCCTTTGCTTCTCAGTTCCCTTTGCTCTTCCTCCTCTTCTTGTGGACCATCAACAGTAGAATGTCCCAGGGCTTGGGCTTGCCATGCCTTTACTGTTCTGTCTACACCGCTTTCTTGGTGCCCTCAGCTCAGTCATGGCTTTAGCATACCCGAAACTAATGCCTCCCCTGCAAACAAACAAACAAACCAACAAATGTTATTCTTCTTGCAGGTTTCTTAGGTTCAGCTAATAGCAACTCCGGTTGCTCAGGATCAACCCTTAGAGTCATCCTTGAGTTCTCCCACTTGCCATGAGTAGTCCATAAGTGAAACCTGTCCACTCTAATTTTGATATAGACCCAAAATCTAACCCCATGTTCACTGTCATCATGAATGCCCAAACCCTCATCATTCTTGCCTGGGCTTTTTGCACTGACCTCCTAACGGGTCCTCCTCCTTCCATCCCTGCCCCCTTTGGTCTGTTCTCAACATAGCAGCTTGAATGATTCTGCTAGAAATATCATATCATGTCACTCGTCCACTCAAAACCCTTCAATGCCTTTCTGTCTGTCAGAATGAATGTCCTTACAAGGGCCTGGCCGCCCTGAAAGATCTGCTGCCCACCCCCTCCATGCCTTGTCTCTGAGCATGCAGCAGCCCCTCGTTGCCAGCACCCCGCTCAGCAAACTTCCCCCTGTTGGCACTTGGGTTGTTGTTTCCTGTGCATAGAAAGCCTTCTCCCTAAAAAGCCACATGGCCCCCTCCCAAATTAGACTGTCTGTCCTGCCAACATTCTCATACACCGAACCTCACTGCCTTACATGTTCAAGACACTTACCACCATCTGACATACTATTTAATGCTTTTTTTAAAAATATTTTATTTATTTATTTGAGAGAGAGAGAGAGCACGAGGGGGGGAGGTCAGAGGGAGAAGCATGCTCCCGGCTGAGCAGGGAGCCCGAAGTGGGACTCAATCCCGGGACCCTGGGATCACGACCTGAGACAGACACTCAGCCAACCAAGCCACCCATGCGCCCTATTTAATGCTTTTTGAACCCATCCCCTCATCTCCTCTGCCTCCCCTTGCCCAAAGCAAGATTCCACAGTTAGGAATTTTTATCTGGTTGTTGCTATTATCTCCAACACCACAGAATTAGATTTTTTTGGAGTAATTGAATGAGGAAATGAGTAATAATGGTGACCTCTATTCATTGTAGAAGGATACCCAAAATGCAGGTATGCACGGAGAAAGTAAAAATTATCCGTAACTGCTCAACCAATATGACTACTCGTAATGTCTGATTTTTTAAAAATTTATTTATTTGAGAGGGAGAGAGAGAGAGAGAGAGACAGTGAGGTGGGTGATGCAGAGGGGCAGGGAGAGGGACAAGCAGACTCCCCGCTGAGCACGGAGCCTGACATAGGGCTCTATCCCATGACCCTGAGATCATGACCTGAGCCAAAACCAAGAGTCGGATGCTCAACCTCTGCACCACCCAGGCGCCTCTATCCTAGGTGATTTTGAGATGCAGACCATGCATACTGAAGGACTTACTGTTTCACAGTGGGCTTTTTTCCACTTCACAATATACTGTGCAAGCTCATCTATACTGACTAGTCCACTTCTATCATCTTTGAACTCCCGGCTTCTCATTCAGGTCTCAGCTCACCATCTCCTCAGAGGGACCTTCTGTGACCCTTCCCACCAGCCACTCCCCATCACATCTCCTTCTGTTTTCCTCCGGACACGATCCCTGGGTGACATCATCTGGTCAGTTCATTTGTCTGGTGTTTATTGTCTGTCTCGCCTCCCTGAGTGACAGAATATTATTGATTTGATTTATCACCAAAACCCCAGCACCTAGAAGTGCTTGGTACGTCATAAGACTCAATAAATGTGTGCTGAGTAAATAAATACCATTTTCATGGCTTCTGTACTACTAGCATTGTACATGTTCATAGTGGAAAATCTAAATAACACGGAAGAGCAACATAAAGAGAGTAAAGATGGCTCATCATCCTGCTATACGGGACTAAGGATCCTGATGTATGTGCTTCTGGATTTCTTTTCCTATTCCTGTGTATGTGATTTTGAAATTAAAATGGAAACATGCTCTGCATTTTTTTTTATTTAACAAAATATTGTGCACATTTTTCATGCCATTTCTAAGGACTGTGTGGTGTTCTAGCTAATGGGTAGAACATAGCTTCTTTAAGCTGTCCCTTGTTGTGGGATAGTCATGTTTGTTTCCTGTCTATTTCCCACTAGTATAGACTACTACATGTGTGCAGTTAGATGCGTACCACTTTTTAATGTATTTTGGATGCATTGCTAGATAAGAAAATGATAGAAGAGGGATTTGCACATTTTTAAGTTGTGACAACTTTGCCTTTCGGGAAGGTTGCTCCAACTGGCAGACATTTCAGCTGGCAGAATGTGATTGTTCATGTTTCCCACACTCACACCTCTATGGAGCCTAATTTTTTTGGTCATTTCTAATATGATAAAGAAGAAACAGAAGGACAAAATGGCATGCCTGCGGTGATGTCATACCCCCTTGTGATTCTCACTCTGTTGTGACTGTCTCTAATACTCCCCAGGTGAGTCCCCTATGGGTTGTTGGTTTAACAAAGATACTCCATCATGTTCAGTAAATACTTTTCTGACCTACTTTATAAAGAATTTCTTCTAATCAGGATGGATATTAAACTTCACCAACTTAGTGATTTGTACTAATAGATTGCTTTACATTAAACCATCTTTGCACTTCTAAAATAAATTCTCATTTATCATTATGAAGTAGGCTTTTAATAGTCTGCTGGATTTGACTTGCTAACATTTTATTTACGATTTGTTTTTAATCCATAGCCACAATTTAGCTTGTTCTTTAGTTTTTATTTTTCTGCTTTCTATATTTTACTGAAGAAAAGCTTTGCAAAATTATTAAAGAATTGGCAAGCCTTCAATATGTCTCTATGCTCTCCAGCCTTGAGGTTGGAAAAAATTAATTCCTGAAACCATTAGGACCTCACTTCTTTTGAAGAAATAACTCTTTGATCTCTTTTTAAGATCAAAGATCTAAGATCTCATAGGCCATTGTAAGGTTATTTTCCTCTGGTTATTGATCCACTTAACTTTCTACTTCATTTTGCGTTAGTTTGGGTTATTTATATTTTCCTAGAAAATCTTCCATTTCATCAAGATTATATTTATCGTCATGATAAGTTTGTACATGATATTCTCTGGACTCTGAAACAACTTCACCCAATCTACTGATAGCCTTCCCAGTTTTCTTTTTCCTCATGATTACATTTTTAACAGTCAACTCGTGGATTTCTGGAATGGTTTTATAGTTTATTAAATATTTATATTCTACATCATGTATCTTCTTTGTCAAGAACAGTTTCTGATATCAAATGGTACCGCCTACCCATATTTTGAAAAGTTCTTAGGCAGGCTTGTAGTGGCAACCCCTAAGAAGGCATACCACCACCTCTAGAAATGGATCCCCCTGGTTCCTTTCATCCACAAGCTACTCCCCTGCTCTTCCCTCATCAAACACTATCTTCAATGTTTCTCTTGCTCCTCAGTCCCAGTTTTAGAGAATTTCCTCCAATATGGGCTTTGGAAGTTTCCCGAGCACCAGTGGTTTCCTTCAGAAGCAGTGCCTCTTGGAACAGAGAGGCCATGTGAAGAATCAGACCCCCAGCAGGGTGCCTCCATGGCCCTCAGATCCTCCAAAGATTGGAGAAGCTCTTGGACAGTTGGGTCCTACGCAGCAGGCAGCTGCCCCTGGACAAAAAGGCTGTCGTGTTCCTTCACAGAAGGCTGCATTAGTTGTGGCTAAAGTTATGTGGACTGGGAAAGTTCCAGAGTGTGAGTTGTGCTAATGAGTGAGAGCCGTCAGCCTGCCCTAGAAGGGGCACCAAAGGAATCCCTCCAAGCTCCCCCACTGTCTCAGTCTGTTTAGTCTGTTGTAACAAATACCAGCGACTGGGTAGCTGATAAGCAACAGAAGTTCATTGTTAACAGTTCTGGAAGCTGGAAGTCTGAGATCAGGGTGCCAGCATGGTTGGGTAAGGGCCCTCTTCTGGTCATAGACTTCTCACTGTATCTTCACATGGTGGAAGGGGCCAGCTAACTCTCCAGGGCCTCATGTATAAGGGAACTAATCCCATTTATGAAGACTCCATCCTCATGACCTAATCACCCCCCAAAGACCCCAATCGTAATGCCATCACCTTGGGCATTAGGTTTTCAACACATGAATTTGGTAGGGTTGGGGGAGGGACACAATCCCTCAGATCATAGTGCCAGAGACCCTGCTGCTCTGGAGCATCTCAGAAATTGCCAAGGAAGATGTTGTCAGATAGGAAGATGGTGGCACAGGGCCAAGGGGCACATTAGTTCCTTGGTCTGACATAGCATTATCAGCTACAGGTGAGCTATAACTTAGGAGGAATGTATAAGGCACCATGAACCACCAGACTAGTTGATGTGGCATCCAAGTTCAGCCATGATGAAAGCAAGGCCTTCTGAGGTTGCTCAAAAATGCGTGCAGGGAGCTCTGGAAAACAGTATGGAGGTTCCTCAAAAAGTTGAAACTAGAGCTACCATATGATCCAGCAATTGCACTACTGGGTATTTACCCCAAAGATACAAAAGTAGGGATCCGAAAGGGTACATGCACCCCGATGTTTATAGCAGCAATGTCCACAATAGCCAAACTGTGGAAAGAGCCAAGATGTCCATCAACAGATGAATGGATAAAGAAGAAGTGGTACATATATACAATGGAATATTATGCAGACATCAAAAGGAATGAGATCTTGCCATTTGCAACGACGTGGATGGAACTGGAGGGTATTATGTTGAGTGAAATAAGTCAAACAGAGAAAGACATGTATCATATGACCTCACTGATAGGAGATATTCTTAATCGCAGGAAAACTGAGGGTTGCTGGAGTGGGGGGTGGGGTGGGAGGGATGGGGTGACTGGGTGATAGACACTGGGGAGGGTATGTGCTCTGGTAAGCACTGTGAATTGTGCAAGACTATTGAATCTCAGATCTGTACCTCTGAAACAAATAATGCAATATATGTTAAGAAAAAAAAAAAAGAAGAAGAAGAAGAAGAAGGTAGCAGGAGGGGAAGAATGAAGGGGGGAAATCGGAGGGGGAGACGAACCATGAGAGATGATGGACTCTGAAAAACAAACTGAGGGTTCTAGAGGGGAGGGGGGTGGGAGGATGGGTTAGCCTGGTGATGGGTATTGAGGAGGGCACGTTCTGCATGGAGCACTGGGTGTTATGCACAAACAATGAATCATGGAACACTACATCTAAAACTAATGATGTAATGTATGGGGATTAACATAAGAATAAAAAAATAAAAAAATAAAAAAAAATGCGTGCAGGGAGGACTATGGTAAGCCGGACCATCTGCATTGATTTTAAAGCTTCTAAAAACAAGAACCAACCCCCCCCCAACACTCACCAAGTCCCTTACTGAGGTACATCTTATATTCTCTGGAATTGTAAGTCCTCCTTCCCAGAGCGTGTCATCAAGAAGCTGGTGATCCAGGATGTCAAGGTGAGAAAGGCAGACATGCCTCCGAGGAAGATGCCTGGGCTGCCATGGAGTTACTGAGTTGGCTGAAGTCAAGAGGGAACAGGGTTTCCTTAGGAATCCCAGGGACAACTCTTGGAAGAGGGGTCCTGGTAGATGTGGGGAGGCAGTTGTAGAGAAAGCACAAGAGGCTGGAGCTCTCATTCCAGAAGGAACAGGGCAGTGGACAGTTTTACCAGCTTGCCCTCTGGGGAGCAGAGGTGCTGGGGAGAGAATGGACTCCAGATTGAATATCCACTGAAATGTCATGTCATGTGCTGTGTTCTGATGTGGTTTATGTGTTTCCTCTGGATATGAGAGGCCCCTCTCGCTCTGAATCGAGCCCACTCCCTGTCCCCTTTGTCACACACTGTATTTTGGACAGCGACCCCCCACCCCGTCCAGCTCCAGTTATTGTCTGGTGTGCCCTTGGGACCCCCAGAGAGCCTCCCTGGTGTTGTCTCAGTTCTCCTAAGGAGTGAGGGGATGAAACTTGGGAATCCACTTTTCTGTCAACAGAACACAGTTTCTTCTGTAAAGGACAAGTATTTATTAAGTCCCACTCAGTATGTTGAAAAGAATTTAAAGTGCTTGGGTGATTTTTTGTGCTCCTTCTTTCACTATGCCTCTATAAGGTCAACTGCTTCACCTGTTAAACAGAGAGGAATTTCTATTGTGTGAGTGTTTGTACAAACTTCTAAGTAGCGTTGCCACAAAAGAAACATAAATGATTTTACTCCTTTTATTATTCGCTGCAATATCTTTTTAAATTTAATTAATTTTATTATGTTATGTTAGTCACCATATAATACATCATTTGTTTTTGATGTAGTGTTCCATGATTCATTGTTTTCGTATAACACCCAGTGCTCCATGCAGTATGTGCCCTCCTCACTGCAATATCTTTTATGCTGATATGCTTATCTACCTGAATCCTCTATTTTGATTCATGTCTTGGTCAGCTAGAAAATGTATTCAATTAATTTTCTTCAGAGAGGGTATGGCTGTGGTGGTACAGTTCCAGAGATTTTGATAAAAATTTTATTTACTTATTAGAGAGAGAGAGCACGCACATGCGTGAGCACAAGCAGGGGGAGGGCAGAGCCAGAAGGAGAAGCAGTCACCCCACCGAGCAGGGAGCCTGACATGGGACTCGATCCCGGGACCCTGAGATCATGACCTGAGCCAAAGGCAGACGCTTAACTGACTGAGCCACCCAGGCACCCCCACTTCCAGAGATTTTGAATGCCTGAGAACGTCCACTTACTGCCTTTTAACATAAAGCTAATTTTGGGGTGTACACAATTCATTGGGTACTAATAATAGTATTTTATGCTTATGGCATTTAGAGCTCTAGAAGGGAAGTCTGATACCAAACTATGTTTGGGTTTGTTTTAATACATTTTTTTTTTCTGCCCTTGTTTTTGTAGATTGTTTCTGTTATCCTGGAACATTATTAATATCCCCAGGTTATGTCCAGCTCTACGGAAATTTCATCTGTTGTTCCTGGAGGTGCAATACTCTGTCCTCTCTCTTTGTTCCTTGTAGACTCTCTCTCTACTTACATGGATTGGTTCTCTTACCTCTGTTACCCAGATTGCTTATCTTTCCTTTAGCCTTTTCATCACTTTATATGACTTTCCTAGAGTTCTAGAGTCGTACCTTTTAATTCACTCCTTCTGTTTTTTGTTTGTTTGTTTCCCATAGTGAGAGCATCTTGTGCCACCTCCACTGTGTTTTCTACTTTGATAATCATGTTTTTCATTAGAGAGCTATCTTTGTGGTCACACATTATTCTTTATTTCTTAAATTCAGTATCATCCCAAATCCCAGTGAAAGTAAAAAATAAGATTTATACTTTAGACTTATTAACTGTCAGCTGCAAGGTGTCTGTGTTTATGTTTACACACAGTGACAACTGATATGTTTCTCCTGAGAAGCGTAGTACTGACTGGACGAACCTGATTATCCTTGTATGCTCCCAACCTCCTTAACACCACAGCCCCTGATGTGTAGTTCTAGAAATCACTGTGTACCATGGCAACATGGGTATCCTGGTACTAATGAGGCTCTTCCTTTCAGTGGTGAGAAAAAGACAGCTTGAACTATTGTCTCATGAGACACTTTTTTTATTATCTTCCATCAGATGAAAGAGTATATGGCTGCACGTTGCCAGTTTTCATGCTGAAACATTCTTGGAAAAAAGAAAGCTCTTCAGTTTCTTGAGCAACCTTTTCCTCTTTTGAACTGGAATCCAAGTGGTGGAAGCCCATCACCTTACAGCTCCTTAAACTGCACACATAATTATTCTTTGATTTTACTTTTCCTAGGGCTGCATTCCCCAGTAATTTAATCCCTTTTGTTATATGTGGTTGATATCAGCTTGCACAGTGAGTTTCTGTCTGACACAACAATTTTGAAATAATGTTTTGCTTTTATGTCTCATAAGTACCATAGAGTGTAACTAGCTCTCAGTGTGGACCAGAATGGCAAGTGGCTACCGCTCAGTTCTTCCCACTAAGAGTCAGAGAGCTGGCTTGCATTCCTAATCTCTTATATTGCATATTACACAAATCCAAAGTGTGTCCAATTTCTTCCCTAAAAGCCAAAGTCCTTTTTGTGATCACAATAGTATATTTGTCCACTCCCTTTTCTGCAATTTAAGACATCTTGGATGGCCAAGCAGTTATAGGTGGGTGGGAAGAATCACTCCTTCCGCCTGTGGAAGGAGGGGGAAGAGCACGGTGTTGGTGAATTAGAGCGAGTCTGGTAGGA